TCATATCACAATTACTAAATCCAATTAAATATATTTAAAATAAGAACACTGTTTATTCCAAAAATCATTCTATACTCAGCACAATTATTATATCCAAAATTTTAGACCGACCCATTGAAAGTATTTGAATTCTTCGAGCACTAATGACTTGAACTTCAACTGGAATCCTATTAAGATATAAAAAGGGAAATTACCTCTCCTCTTACTGTAATGTTTGGATGATATTCAAACACTCAGACTGGAAACTGCTAGGTTTCCCTAAATCAAACCTGTTCATCAAATTCACTTATGTCTTTAAAAAAGTTTAACAGTACGAACTTTTTTTTTTTCTTAAACAATAATATATTAATAAAGGCAAAGCATCTAAAAAGTTGTTCTTAACTCATATTTCATCTTTCTCAAAGAGTCTTTCTTTATATACAACAGGATAGTAACCATGAAGAATAAGGAAAAAATTGCTTGGAAATTTAAACTAAAGAATAAATAATTTATAAAAGTGTTGAAAATAATTTTAAATTATAATTAGATTCAAAACTAAATTATAATTTATAACAAATTAATTCTAAGATCTATTACAATAAAATAATTAAATTATTTGAGATATTTAACAGATATTTTTGAAATACTTCCTAAATATAATTGTTTCTGATTGAGGAAATACCTTTTTGAAATTAATTAGGAGATTTTTTATTTTTAGATAATTCAATGCTGGTTTTAATTGATATCAACTTTAATAATAATGAGAGCAATATGATAATTATAATAAGATAATATTAACTTTTTCTTATATATTGAATATAATAAGTATCTCATTAACAGACCAAAACTTAATAGTCTAATCATAACTACTTGATATAAATAGATCTTCATTATTATTCAAAATTAAACATCTAATATAATTATTATGAGTTTAAAAAGTTTATGAGCAAATCCATAAATTATTATTATTATTATTAAATGAACAAATAAAATAGATCATTTATCTCCAGAAATCAACTAATTTGATTATTTCATAAAATTTAAAACAAGCACTTCACTTTTATGTTGATTTAAGACTTGATATATTTTTAACATTCCTTAATTGAATTGATATATTTTACTTTCCTCATTACACCCAGCTGCTTTAATTGAATTATCTTTTTTAAATGCAACTGCTAAAAAATATTTTTATTATTTAATAGAATAAACTTAAATAATTTAATAAGTAAATGTGATAATCTTGATAATTTAATCAATGGTTTAATTTCTTATACGATAGTTGATGAAAATTGAGATCAACCAATTAAATGAAATTAATCAAGTTTTTATAATTAGTATTCTTATTTAATATTACTAATCTTCCAATTGGATAATCTATATTAAATATTTAATCTATGAAATTGTTGATATTATCAAATGATTACGAAAAAATATTATCAATAAATACATCTAAATGTTTCTCTATTTCTTAAATATGATATTCTAATTATCTATTAACTGCTTAATCTCTTAATATTTCTCTAATTCTATTAAATTTTATTTTTATTAATATAATATTTAATCAAAAACATTATTTCTATATGTTAATTATATGAAATTAGATATAAGTTAAGAGCCTAAAATTCAAGGCAAATAATCTAAGATTCTTCTATTATTTTATTAAGGAAGGAGAAGAATGAATTAAAAAAAGACCAAGAATATTGATTTGTTACGTGTAGGATTAAAAAATCCAAAAATTAGTTTAATTTAGGAACAATAAAAAATAAAGAGATCAGATTTAAGATAATAATTTTGATGAGTTTATTCTTGAAGCAAATAAAATGTAGAAAGCTTAGCATAATTGAGGCTGTATTTATAGAAAAATTTTGCATTACAATGAAATTAATAGAGGGCGTTTCATTAAAAAATATTATTTAAATATCTTATTACTTTTTTCAAAGTATAAACAGTATTTAATTTACTCCGTATTGATACATTTCTTTTAAATTTTTAAAAGAGGCATTGTAGATATTGACTTTTATTTTACTTTAAGATAGTTATATTAAATCCAACCTATAAAAATCAATACCAATCCTTCAACTAAAATTAATCATCTACATGATATACAAATAATTTTAAGATAAATACATACTAAAATAATTGAATTAAACAGGTACTTCATGCATTATATTACAAATGATAGTTGTAATACACTGCAATATAATTGTTAAAATGTAAATGATGAAAAATAATATTTTCTAGATGCAGTGTATTTAATACTAGGATAATCTGATCAAAATTATATTTTACAGTACAGAATATTTTTCGAGCATTTAAAATTTTTATTCATGATCAAAGTAGTTGAGACAAAGTTCAAAACTTTTACTAAATTATAAAAAACTTTAGATGTTACATATTTGAGAGCAATTCCTTATGCCCATTGTCCAATTCTTTTTAATTAAGTTTCAAATAGCAAGTAGAATGTTTTTATAAAACCACCATTGCCAAATATTTATCAACTTTTATAATTAATTGTATATAAAAATAATTATGTTATATGTTAATTTCAATAAGCCTTTATACCCACAGTATCTAAGGTTTTTATGCTTTTATCTTTATGCATGTATTTTTAGATTCTTGCTATCTTAAGTCATCATTATACCATTATATTTTGCCTATATATATTTTCCATATATTATTTGATAATTTTATTAAAATCCTCTTCATCATAGACTTAGTATCATCTCATACACTTTCAAAAGAATTACTTCCTTTTTCCTCTTCTCAATGTGGTTTGGATTCACTTTCTCTTTTATTCTTAATCCATGACTATCCCCTCAATCACTTTGTCAATCTGACAAATTTTCTCTATTAGTCTTAAATACTAACAACTAATTCAGTTAGGTTTTTAACTTCCACTAATATTTTTGATAGATATTCTTATTCCTCCTAGGTTTCATTTACAATTTTTTTTCTCTTATGTTATATAGATAATTTTTAGTTACTTTTTATCACAATCGCATCAACATTTAGAGAAGAAAACTAATAATGAGGTTTAAGACTAAGCTCAAGGGGATCTTTTTTTTGTAAAATGACTAAAAGTTTATTGTCATTTAAATTATGGGATCAAGTAATATAAGTAAATAACAGATTTGATAATTGGTCATTAAGTTTCTTTTAAGTAAAATCCATTTCAGATCTTATATATATATTTTTTGAACTATTATGAAGAGAGTAATTAATATTTTTCACTCAATCTTATCAATACCTAATATTCTTTAGTTTAGCTTAAAAGATTTAATTAAAAATATAATAAATATATAAACATTGATAAATGGTTTAGATATAAGCAAACAATGATAGAGACCAAAAAAACTTAAATCTATAGTTAAGTGAGGACGATATTCTCAACATATTAGTAGTTTAAAATGAGAACTTAAATTTGGACAGAGGAAAAAAAATAGCGAACCCTACTTCTTAACTTAACTAAAGCTTACAACGTGATCAGAAAATCTTCATAATTTGAAACCCTTAGATAATGTGAAAAGTATTAGTTAAATGAATAACTTCATATGTTTGATCTAATTTAAAAGAAAAAAGATCAACTGTTAAAATCGAGTAACCAAGAATCTTGAATTGTCCCGCGCCTCATCCGATATTTACTTTGGCTAGTTGGAAAAATTAAGAATTTTGTCAAGAAATTTAAATAGAGGAACTATAATAAGTATAAGATATTCAACCAACTCCTTTGTATGATAATATTAATATAACTATTATTGGCCTTGGCAGAATGGATAGTTTAAGGATTTATTAATTTGGTTGGGAAATATAATTTTAAGGTTAATATTTAGAAATCTAATTTTGTCTCTACATTTAAGAATTTTGAAAATCAATTGAATTTTTAGGAGATTATAAGGCAAAAATAATTTATTCTAAATTCAGCAAGAGGTAATATTGAATTAGAAAGGAAATTAATAAAATAGAGAGTTTCTTTTATTTGCAGTCAAAAATGATTAAAATACTTCTCAATCATAAAACTTGAGTTGTCAATAATTCTTTATAATATCTTCTGTTTCTTTTATTTCTATGGGTCATTTGATTTTTACAGATAAAAGATCCTGGCAATAACAGAATATTTTCTAAATTAACTATACAATAACAAGACAACTTGTTTCATATTTTAATACCAAATTTCAAATATATAATATAATTAAATGATGGAAAATTTTCTCAATAATTAATTATATTTTAATGTACTTAAAACATTAAGCTCATAAGGAATTTGTCTTTATAAAATTCTTAACAAATTAAATTTTATTTAATGAAGCTTATTCATATATATAGATAATAATCATGCGAATTCAAATAAATAATATTAATTTTGTTGATTATAATACATTCAATGTAAATACTTTAGATTATTATATCAAATTGTAAATACAATTAGTAGGAGTTATGGATAAAATCAAATTTTAGATGGTATTATATAGATGTAAGATGAAAATAAAAATAAAGGACTGTAGCATCTTAATTAAATGGAACAATTATTTCAAATGCAAGGTCGAATTTAAAGTATGGAAGCCCTGCAAACACCGGTCCATTAAAAGATTCTATATATATAGCTGGTCAACCTAATCCGCATTGTTATACGTTTAGTGTGATGGATGTTTAATTTAAACAAAGATATGAAATTAACTAAATAAAAGTCTGGTTCTATGATTTAGACGGTAGAGTACATAGTTTTAAAATAATTTTGATTGATAAAGATAATATAGAAAAGGAATTATTTTCAGGGTATTAAAAACAAGGTCTTGTAACAATTAATTTTGAAGATCATTTTGCATTATAGATAAAAATAATCATTATGTCTGGTAGTTCGTATAATGCTTTAGCTATAATAAAAATTAATGTTTACTTAATTAATGCAATAAAAAATTTAATTTAAAATGCAATATCAATAATTAGAATGGTTGCTTAAATACTATATATGAACATTTGAATAAATTGTTTTTTTATAGACTCATATTAAAAATACATTGATGATTAACTTCTAATTTAAGCATTATCTAGTTAATGAAGATAACATTCCAAAAATTAAGATTTCCGATTCAAAGGTGATTAATAGAGGAATTTGTAATTTACGCAATTATAATAAAATAGAATATAAATGAGTAATAAGATTAAATTTTAGATAGACATCTTAAAGATTTGTATGTTCAAAATATATACATAATAGTAAAACTAAACTATTGGAAAGTTTAATTATCTATTATGCCAAATCAGAATAGCTATAATCTTGATAATTATATAAAGAACTTACAAATTCAGTCATTTGAAAAACCATTAAGTAAATCTTGTTTCATATCAGTTGAAAGAATTTCTGATGATAAATTCAAAAGAAAAAATTATCAAAATTTAAAGATGTACATATGATATAACTCCTTTGTAATAAAATTATTTCCAGATTAAAAAAAATAACAATCTTAATAGATTAACAATGAAAACTTTAATCAACATAATACTATTCTTAATACACATAATAATGAATGATACTTCTGATAGTCAAATGATAAAAAAAGAAAATTCAAATAATCAAAAGAAATTAGATAATAGTGATTCAAAAGCCAATAATCAAATTAAAGTTTACAAAAGACTTATTAAAAATATTAATGAAATTTTAAATACATTCAAACAATTTAATCAGGAAGAAGAAAAGATTGAATTAAATTGGACCCCATTTCATTACGATAGATAAAAGAAAGAAAGTAATGAAGATTAGTCATCTAAAGATAAACAAGATGTGATTAACGATGGACCCTTACCATTGCTTGAAAAAGTTATAAAAACAAAAAAAGAAAAAAAACAAAAAAAAGATGGTGGCAATATCTATGCCATGTTGCAATTTGATTGGGTCAATTTCTTTTCGGATGCACAATAAGTGCATTAATTTGTGGAGCTGCGTTACCTATAGGAAAAAATTTTATAACTGGAGGAATTTCAGATATGGTCTATTCTGTCGCAGCAGCTTGGAAAGGATTAGAAATTAATTGTGGAGCTTGGGGAAAAACAAAATGATTAATATTGCATCAGCATTAGTCTTAGCAGGACCTTTTGGAATTAAGGAAGTTCTTCAAATAGGAGGCTAAGCCTTTATATCAAACAAAAAATTGATATTACTGAATTTTTGAAATAGATTCTAACAGGTTTTTGGTAAAATGATTCAGATAAAGTAAAAATCTAAAATTAATATCAAACTTTGTAAATGATATAAGAAACTGTTTTAAAAACATAAAATAATATTCAAATATTAAATTTAGCAACAGAAGTTTTAGGAGATTAAGTTAGAAATGGAGCTATTTCTGAAATTACATCGTGTAATCTGTACGATTTAATTAATTAATGTTTTTAATAATCTAAAGAGACAATTAATGGTTTTCAAAAAGTTTTTGTGAATTAGCAAAAAAATATTTAAGATTATAGATAGCTAAAAGTAATAGTAACAAATCAGAAAAGAATTTAAAACAAGAAGTTGAAGAAATTTGTTATATGCAGGGAAATAAAAAATTTAATGGGTTATAAAGCAAAAATCATGAATATTAATAATATGAAAATTAACTAAATGATGAAATTTAGTAATTTTCAAAAATTTTTAAAATAATTTATTTGAAAGACTTTGAACTTTAAAAAAAATAGTAACATTAGCTCTGTATTTAGAAAAATTTTGCAATCGTTAGGAAGTGGAGAAAGAGATTATCAATACCAATATTTAAAAAGATTTAAATTCAACCTTCAATATAAATTATAAAGATATTTAGGATGAATGTAATAATGTAAAAATACTAGATAAATTATCAATGAATAAATGTTATTAGAAAGTAATCAGACCAAAAAATCATAAATATTTGCAATATTTTTAGAGATAAATGCAAATTCACAGAACAAATAGAAATAATTTTTAATGAATAGTATATTACTCATTTGAACACTAATATAGAGCAATTTTAGTCACAAGTTAGCTTATATTAAATGCAGAATTAGGTGAGTTAATATTAAGTTGAATAAATTGAATAATAATGTGAATAATTAAAATAAATAGTTAATCTGGAAACATAATTATTGGTGTAAAATGCCATTAACTATATGAAAAATGAATAAATGATTAATAATGATGGAATCACCGTTTCAAATCAATTTATGAATAAGTTTAATAATTACTTGAACCAATAAAATTATTTTAGTATGATGATTGAGATTATGAAATAAGCTATGAAAAAAGCACTCTTTCAAATTTTAAATAAAATTGTTAGGAAAAACAGTTTGTAAAAGCTTTAATTCAAGCTGTAGAAATAGAAATAATTGATGAAATATAAAAATAAATCTTTAAGTCAAGAATAAAGAAATAAGATAAATTAGTAACAAGTCAATATGAATAAATAATCAATATCCAATAAAATCATAATAATCATAAATTCTTAAATCTATTTGTCTATTTCAATTTATAGAAATTTATTAAATTATTAGAAATTTCAAATTGAATCTAAGTTTTTTTTTTAAATCATCTTATTCTTATCTATCAAAATTATTAGACCAACATATATTTTTTTTTTATATTAATAATTATAGAGATTATAAATCATCAAAGAAATCAATTTTAGAAAGAAATTCACAAAAAAAATATAAGAATGATCAAATTATTTTGTGAAACCAAAATTCTACTCTAATGATGGACATAACTTTTTTCAGGTTTTGTTAATACATTCTAATTTAGAATCTTTCTAATTTGCATGAAGGTTTTTAGTATTTCTTCTAATCTATTTTAGTAGCCTTATTTCAAACATAATTACAAATATTATTTATTTTCTAATTAGATGCAGAAATCAAGCATTTTGAACTTCAATATCAATTTTCTTTGATGCTCTGTTGATGATAGATGGTTTGAAACAAACCTTCTACAAACATTTATTATTATTCAACTAAGTTCAACCAGTCCACATCTATTAAAGTGTTATGAAGTTCATCATATCTCATAAACTTATTTGGTAAGTACTATACTACAGAGTGTATTATACTTTTTATATTATTAAATATTCTTAGATATCACTCAATCTATAAAGTTTTTAATTTCATTCTATCATGGAGCTGCATTTGATTATACGAGTGAACTCCTTCTAAACGTTTCAACTTCCTTTATATATACTTTAATTCATTTTTTTCAATGTTGCTATTTTTAAATTATTAGAATCCTTTTTTCATTCCTTTCTTGGGCATCAATCATTTTTTAATCATAAGGCATCATAAGTATTTTTTCAATATTTCCGCTCCTATATAACTGTTTCTATATTCATCTTTCAAGGATATGTCTGTTAGCCTATTCTTTTGAAATTATTTTTCCACATAAGAGAAGATCTTGTAATATTTCTATTGATATAGCCTCTTCTTTAGGAGTAATTTGGGGAATTCATCTTAATGTTAAATTTTGTAAATCCTAATTAAAGGGTTGCCATTAAATCTCTGCCATCTTACCATAGCTCCTAATTATAAAGGTAACTCAAAAATCTCAATAATATCTTACTTCAGATTAGGTTGGTGCTGCCTCTACACAAAAGATTTCCTAAAATATTAAACCTCTTTTTTCTAAATACATAAAAAAAATTATAATTAATAATTCATAAATATATATTTATAAACTGTTTCATTCAATTTTTCTGGATTGACAAAATGTTTGATTATATATTTAGTTGTGAGTAAATTACTATCTAATTTAGTTATCTGTTATTCTATTTTAAAGTCCCATAAACGATAGACTAATAGATTTTAATTTAGTACTACTATCACAAGACAATAAAAATCTAAATTAAATAGACACAATAGTTATGTTTATTCAGTATACTACTCTATTCTAAGCATCCCATTATTGAGAAGCATACTGAATAAATTCAGCTATTATGACTATTTAATTGAGATTTTTATTATTAGGATAGATGTATTTACATCACAATAAATAAGTGAAAAACACCATGACCATCCAATTTATTCAATTCTTTGATTTTAAGGTTCATCCATTTTCAACTGAACACCTAAGGATCATTCAGATTTATTCCACTTATATGACATTATTAAATTAGGATTCACTAAAATTACACCTAACAAAATTAGTTCCTACTAAAAAAATATTTTAGATCTTAATTTTTTCAAAGTTTTTGTTTCTAAGGTCCACTTTCATCTAAACTAATAAAGGTAATGAATTAGACCCACATTGAATTAAAGTGTCATCAATGTATGTGAAGTAAACTTTAAATTACAAAATTAGATGATATATTTGACCTCCTTTATGGTGTTTATTAGATCTTTTTGTTCTCCGATAGAAATCCTATACTTTCTTCTTTGAAAAGCTTCAATTAAAACATCATCATTTACATCCCTTTACTTGAGCAAATTCTCAATTAGATCTACTTCTTGATCTAATCAATTTCTTTGTTATTTTTAATATTGAAATCTCTTACTCTCACTTTAAATTTTATACTACAAATAAATTTACGTATCTTCGTAATTTTTTGTAAAGTAGAAGTATAAACTATTGGTAGATTTGGAGTTAAATAGAATTGATGTTAAAAATGTTAAAGATGATTTAATTCTCCATGTCCATTACTTGATTCTTTAAGAATATAGAATAACTAATTTTAATATGAATCATGTTAATTATAATAATTTAATTTGAACTATTATTTTTTTTTATCATTAATATAGGCATTTGGATTTGTGATTTTTTATCTCAATATTAAGAGATAGGAATTTGTCTGAAGAACAGCTTAACATGACTAGATATTTTTAATAATGCATAGGAAACTATGATATTTTATAGTTATAAATCGAGATATTTTTCAAGAATGCACTTAAATATTAATTCATGTAATAACTTTAGAAAGCAAATGATCGTGTTAAAAAATGTTAATTTTTAACAATATTCTTTTTAAATATTTTTATTTTTTATTGATTATAAGGCTTGAGTAATGAAATCAAAAAGAAATGAGAATGTACCAAAAAAGTAGATCCTCTCTAATTAGGATAAATTAATATTAATTGTATGTTAAAGTAAAAAGATCACCAGAAACCTACTCTCCATTCTTTCCTTCTCTTTTGGAGTTGTTTGTAACTTTTAAAAATCAATTTAATAATAGTTTACTTTAGTCATGCCTTATTATTCTTAATCATGATTTTAATGTCCTTCTAATTGTACTCTTAGATGAATGAAGGATGAAAATTCAATAGTAACAATTTCCATATTATTAGTTGCTCAAAAGCATTACAAATTTTTTATCATAAAGTTGTAGAATTACAAGTTTTTTTGAATGATCCTCTTGAAAAACTCAAATCTATATAAAATCATTAATTTTCCATTTTCTTACATTCTTTGCCATTCTTATTATTTATTCCCCTTCTTTATATTATTATTTATAAATAAGTTTTAGAAATAAATAACATTCCTTTTTAATCATTCACTGGACCAAATATTCTTGGCTTGGGATTTCCTTTAAAATTCTGACTTATTGTAATTAAATTTTATCCTCCCAGTATAA